ATGGTCTGAAGATCGCAGTTGCTGGGTTTAACTCACTTAACCTCCTGCGATATATGCTCTGATCGTGCATACACGAACAGAAGCTGACTGCGAGACGGGGAAACTAATTATCGGAGGTAGCTGCACAAACCTTCGAAACAAGCGGTGACTTTGGCTTCGCGATCATGGCAGAAACAAGACAGGTCGAAAATTGACTGGTACTTTGGCCTCGGAGGAGAAATCAGCGAATCGGTGCATAGATTTGGCGCCGGCACACAGCCACCTCCATGCCTGATCCTTGACTGGCAAGTACCTCCTATATCTGCACGCCTGTTTTGTTGCTGCTTTCAGATCTGACGATGGACTCCTGCGCGGGTTCGAAAGCTCAGACAATTAAACAAATCATTCCAGTGCCCGGTGAGTCTTCACTTTTTCTTTTATAAAACCGAAAGATACCCTCTCTTTGGTTATGGATTTTAAAGAAGGCGTGATTTGCCACCACATAATTGCAAGTATATTGTGCGCATCGTTTTTATGAAACATTTTTAAACTTACACGAACACTGAAATTCGATAGAAAAGCTGCATACTACATAAGTAGACAGCTTTAGCGAGCGCAGTTTTGCGGGTTGTCGGAAGGATAAACATTCAAAGGTCAGTATCCTACCGTGTCTGAAATCTCTTAACTCGACAGTCAATCGCACAACCCTACCTAAGTAATCCATTTTAATCTAAAACACATTTTAGAATCCCGGTCAACATATCATGAGATGACTCGTCAGAAAGAAAACGGTCTAGCCGTGGTAATCTGGACGGCATAAGCGTGCCCTACCCGAGGCTGTAAGTCTACTGGCTGTGGAGGGAGAAGATCAAGGCTTCTGGAAGATATTTTATTGATACTGGGATGGGGGAGGGAGGGGGCGGATGGTAACAGTCAATACGACTGGTGAGCATTGTACAGCCATTACCTCATCGTATAAAGTAAAATATTTTCCAAACACAATGTACACGACGGCAGCAGATCCAGGGCGGGGGAGGAGACTGGACTAGCATTTTCCTTACAGCTTGTGATAGCAGGAAGGGATAAAAATAAAAAGAAGGTAAATGAAACAGCAGCTGAATCACGGCCGAGTCAAGGGCGAGTAAGTTGGGGGGGGGATACAGGAAATCCAAGGCAACTACTTAACGGCACCCGTGTTAGCTGGGGAGGACTCCGGCGCTAAACGTTAAAGAAAAGAAAGCAGAATAGTCAGACTGACAGAGTAGACGGCAGCAGTCATAAAGACATAAGATGCTTCGCGGGATTGTCAGAACGGAAAACGGAAGTCATCGTCCTTTGCGACGAGAAGAAAATTTACGAAAATATTTACCTGTTTGCGTTAACAGGGTTTCTAGTACGTATGAACGCACATCGTCTATGTCGACGGTGATGGAGCACGGTATTTTGCCGCCATTTCCCAATATCCTTCGAATGAACTAAGAAGAAGAAGAAGAAACATGAGGGAATTTTCAGTCGGTTCTTTTCTAAGCACAACGGGTTTCAGTAAGTATTTATAACTGACACGTTTTATTACCTACGAGGGCTTTCCACAACAGCACTCAATCTTCATAGTAACCTAGTGACGCTTCACTTCCAGAATTGTCTGGGTTTCAGTGAAACACAAGAAGCCAACATAATTTCATACTTTTCTACAGACTTCAATAGTAGCCAATTAAATGACCTTGTGAAATATTAATCCGAAGGAGGACAGTCAGGAAAATAAGTTGAACACGGAACTTTCTGAAGTGAAATTCGTGTAACAGATGCGTGACGACCTTTGACGTATTCTGGCAGAAATTATCATAGCGGAAGACGACTGCCCTCCATCAGAATCGAAAATGTACCAAATGCATTTTCTCACGTTTCCCAAAGGACGCATTTAACATCCAAGAAAAAATCACCAGAACTGACACGTGATTGACGGTTCCCGGCAGACAAGTCGTAGGGAATCAAATTTCCGGACACCGACATTACTTCACAACTTCCTCAATTCATGTAAGGCAACTAAATGGCTAGTGTTCAAGTCCCGTCATCGTCATGAAGGGGTTTGTCCTAACAATCT